GATATTCCAGACTGAATGACATCATGCTCAGGATATAAACTGGGAGGAAGAAGGAGGAAGAGGGGGGTGTTTGGAGTGATGGCTTTTGTCTTTCCAAGTCACTGTTACGTTTAATGGGGTCCTGCTCCCCTGGGGACGACTGAACACTGCCTGCCCATGGGAAGCAGTGAAAGAATCCCTTGTTTTGTTTTATTGTTTCGTTTTATTTTGTTTTGTTTTTGCTTTGTTTTTTGTTTTGTTTTGTTTGTGTGCAGGGCTTTTTCTTTGCCTGTTAAACTGTCTTTACACCAATATACAAGTTTTCTTTTACTCTTCCCATTCACTCCCCAGTTCCACTAGTGAGGGAATGGGTGAGTGAGTGAGTGTGTGGTACTTGGTGACTGCCTGGGGTTAAATCACAGCAACGAATGGCTTTGGATGCTTGCTGAGAATGGTGCTGAGCCCACAGAGCTGCTATCCTGACCAAGAAGGGCAACAAGCAGTGGGTGGCCACTCCCATCTATCTCCCAGGTCAGACCTAGCCTCAAGAGCTCAGCCATGGAAGCGAGGTACTGTGTGAGGAGTCTGTAACTCACCCCATGAGAGAAGCAAAAAGCATCCACCTCTCATTGCATGTCAGGAATTCTGGCTGGGACCACAAATACCTTTGCTTTCCACTAATGGTCTCAGGGCCACATCACATGTATTGAAATGGAAAAGTCATTACATTCCTCCTGGGAAAAAAAATTGTTTCTTTTTTTTTTTTTTCCTTTTCAGACATGCTGCATTTATGCATTCCCTCTGATTTTTGTCCTGAACATCATTTTATAGCGAATTTCAGATGACATTTTATCACCTAGCATTCAGTCTCTTTCAATTCTCTCTCATGGCAAGAGACTTAGCCCTGTGGCTCACACTCGATGAGCAAACTTCAAAGAGCAGCAAGCAGCTGCATTTCTCCAGCATGAGCAAACCCTGACACAAATTGGTTTGGGTCCTGCAGCCACCAGGAGTGCCAAGGACAGTCACCTGCATCTCCCACCACCCACACTGGGGTTTCTAACCAGGTTCAAGCCCCCAGGAAATGCTCCTATTCCACACAAAGGCAGCAAAGGGAGGTTCAGGTTGCAGCCTGCTGACCTGCCACTGCTCCACCTTTACATGCACTCTCACAGGGAGAAACCCAGAGGTCACAGAGCAGCTCCATCCAGCAGCTCTGCCTGGATGCATTTTGTGACTTGTGCAGTTCTGCTATGTTGGCCAGAAAATCACTGATTGGGTAGAGGGAGGAAGCTTTGGTTCAACAAGTTTTTTGGCTTGGTTTGGTTTGTTGGGGTTTTTTTAAAATTTTGTTTATTTGTTTACAGGAAAGAACACAAAATATCGAATGAAACAATTCCTAATCAGAGCTAGTCACAACAAGATCACATTTTTTTCTTACTAAGTTAATTTGTGGAGATTTGGGACATAGTTAATAATTTTTCGTATTTCTGATTTGCATCTGTGTGATTTCATTAACTGATAATTGCTTTTGATGTGGATTGCAGAAGGAGATAAATGACTCATGAATCAATAAGTGATGAGATTTCAGAGCCACTTATTGATTTTTATCTCCAATTTACTCTGCATTGAATTTAATTATAGCTATTACACTCGATTTGTTTGAAAACATTGCATGCAAATATTTGCATGAAGTTTATTCAGTGAAATTATACTTCAGTTGTTTTAAAATAAGTAGTGACTTTTGAGCAAAAAAAAAGTCACTGAGTTGAGAAAATATCCAAGTATGCCAACCCTTAATCATTACCCCAAAGCCCTTGAAGAGCTTCATGAATGCTTAAAACTTAAAATCTAGTCTGTGTAAGTGTTCATTACCACAACAGGAATTCTAGGTGATTTTTTTTATTTCAATGGTTTGCTCACCTGAAAGTGTATTTTAAGCCAAACAGATGTACATAAAGAAAGGTTTGTATGAACTAGAATGGAACTATTTGTCCCTAGATTTTAAAAGTGAAACATTATGATTTTTCATTTCATATTTTAAGAATAAATTTGCCGAGATTTCTGTTCATACTATAAATAGAAGTCTTAAACTGAAACTTCTGTTTTTGAGTTTCAAAGCATGTTTAATTTAGTATAAAACAATCTTCTTCAAGTATTTGGGTTGGTAAGAAAACTGAAATATTTTCATTCCACTGTTACAATGCACTTTTGGACACAAAACTAAGAGAACACTTTAATGAATAGTGATGTAAAGATATATCTATAAAGATCTTTTTTTCCTTTTCTTTAAAGGAAATTGGTAGTTCTGCTGTCATGTGAAACATTTTCTTACTGTTACAGCTAGCTTTCTGCAAAATCTAATTTTGGTGCTATTTCTACCTTCCAGTTAGAAACACTAGCTTAATACACTGATTTAGTACTTTTTATTAGAGATTTAATACAGGAATCTGTTTTATGTAATACAACTCATATATGTTTTCTAATGTTGGATATCTTTCATGGAGGGCCTCTGGTAAAGGAAATCTGTCAAAATTATGATAATATAATTACATTGGTTTAATCCTTTGAGAATCATAAAAATAACAGGTAATAAAGATGTCTAGTCTCAAGCACACAGACTATCACAAAAAAAAAATAATTTGGAACCCTGATGTCTTTCTTAATTTCTTAAAACAAGGCTATTATGTATTGTATGTTTTAAAATATATTGATACTTCGTTGGGCAATCTGCTTTCTAGTCTTCAATCTGTTTGTTTTTGGGGTTTTTTTTGGTTTTTAATGCTTTTATACTCATACTGTCTTCAATAATAACTTTGTGTGGCTAAATATCGTCCAGAACATCCCAGCCCCAGCATATTTACTGCTCCAGTTAATGCATCAGAGCCCTCAATCAGGAAATGCAGAATCAAACTTTTAGCCCCATCATGGGAATGGAAAGCTTAAAATAGTATATACATTTAACGCCTATTAGTAAGACATATTTCAAAGTGAATTAAGATCAATTAGAGTACTTCCATTAACTTAATTTGCCTGTGGAGGGGTTCTATGAGCTGATAGTCATGTTAAACACCCATATTTAACTTTCTATATTTACAGAATTATATTATGTGTTTAAATAAATTTCAGATATTCTGTATTAATAGGAAATCAGCAAATGTAGTAGACATGTTTAATTGTGGTGGGTGTTTTGTTTTTTTTATATTAGAAGTTGATATTTGGCAAAATACAAGATTATTAAGGGGTGTTAAGAGGTAGACTTGAATTGTATATTGAGAACTTTGTATTTCTGTTAAAAAGATTCTCCAATTTATTTATGCAAGCTCTTGAAGGTGTAAACAATAAAAGTCCACAGAGTATCATTTTTTCTTCAAAGTGTTTCCCAGAAATTTTGTTTTCTGAGGAACACTGGCAACATATTTCACTGTACTTAGAGCAAATAAAACAGTAAACGAAATTTTTTGCAAAATATGGGAAGGAATATAAAGATTTTAATTGATAAAATTTCATGTATTATACTAGTTTCTAAAAAGACCCATATACAATGACATATATTAATTTGATTCAAATACAATAATACGGAAGATTCAAATAGAATAAGGTGAAGTGACATGTTCTTTTCTAGATTAGGTTTATTTTGGCATCTTTTCAGTTGATGCCTCAAACTGTAATAATCTTTGATCTCATTCCTAAAAAATTTCTCCATGTAATGTGAGGCAAAAATTTCTGTTTAAAATAATTTATTTTCTTTTATTGTATGCTGTCATCCTCTCTAACTGCATCTGTTATTCTCAACTGCTTTCTGGGGTTCACCTACTCTCCTCAGGCTATCTATGCCACCTATATTAAATTATTTGGTAGTTTTTTATCACTTGCTGTCTGTTTACAAATTCACTTCTACCTTTCTTTTATTTTTTTTATACTTTTTTTTTTATTTTCTTATACTTTTTTACTGACACTCTTTGTGTCTCTTCCTAGTCTCTATTTCAGAATTGATTCAGCCAAGTTTCAAGCTGGTGACTAGCTTTTCCAAGCTTTCTGAAAATATTTTAATATTTTACAGCTTTTTCTATGCTTTTCCTCAAGACACTGGGTATGCACGCTTCCCAAATTCAGGCTTTTCTGGTTATGTAATTCCAACAGTCTCAAGAACATGGTTAAATGCTATTTAGGTTGGTTTTTTTCTGACACAATGATTTACTTTCCTTTCTTCTTCCTTGTGCTCAGGACTAGAATCACAATCACTGATTTGGTTTATACTATCATTTTCTGCCCTCAAATTCAAGCAAACTGTTGATTCTAGCTGTAATTGCTTTTTGAATCAATGTCTGTGTCATTTTGGACTGAGAAGAATTACATGTCACATAGAGCAAAGCTAGTTGCTCCCAAGTGATTGTTTAAGCTGCTGAAACAGTCCTTCTCTAAACAATTTTCTGCTATAATAATTGGCCTGTTTCTATGCATACAGTCATTTTCCTGTACCATTCTATTGTTCAGTTTATCTGTGTGGTCTCCTGTAGCAGATATTCAATATTCTCATAATTGTCACAAAATCAGGAATCCAGCTCTGCTAATATGTTTGAATTCTGAGAAAAATAATTAGTAATTTTCTGTAAAGATCCTACTTCGTAATCGCAAGTGCATTTCTGGTCAGTTGAACTAGCTATTTGCTGAAGTGGGCCAGATAATGAAAATCTTTACCCCTTTCTGAACTGCAGTGTTTCAGCCCTTCCATGCCAGCCTGTGGAACTGTTCCTTGCCTGGAGCATCTGCCTCTCCAGCAGGAAGGGAGCCCAACACCAGCCTCTTGGGCCATATCAGAAAATTTTGTCGGTTTTGGGTGGGAATTATGGTGTGAAAACCTAAAACTTGGATGCTTGGACATGACCTGCTGCAGTTTCATCCTTTAGCCTACAGTGGCCCAGCTCCTCTTGTTCTTTTCCCTGTCCTCTGTGATGCCATCACCAGGCCAAGAGGGCCATGCTAGAGCTGCCCAGGGACCACATCCATGGTAACTGGTTGAGTGGCAAACACAAAAACTGGTTAGGCACGTTATTGCCCTGTGGAGCTGCCAGCAGCGGAGTCCTGCCTGGCTCTGATCTCTGTCTTCTGTCCAGGTACTGATTTCTTCTCCACTTTCCAAGTTGTTTTGAAGTGGTCAACAGAGTTCAAAAAGCCATTGAGAATGGAAGTTGTCAAAGACAGGTAGCTGATCAAACAGGGAGCATGGTCTCGTAAACCTCATTTCACTAGGAAATAAGACTAAAGTTGGCAGGGGACAGAGAAAAGAGATGAGTCAGGGTTAAAATTTTTAAGTTTGAAATATTTAATTGTGATCTATAACTGTAATGAACTGTGAAACATTAGCTAGTCCATCCCTCTCACAAAAAAATAAGTAAATATGTGCTGTTCCTGATCAGCGGTGTAAACTCAAGAAAATAACCAGTTCAGGTGATCCCACAGTTCCTGTTTTGGTACAGCCTTTTCCTTGCCCTCCAGAGGAGGCAGAAAAGATGTCTCTACTGTAAATTAAGACTTTTTCTAACATACAAAATGAAAAAAAACTAAAAAAAACCCTTAAACTCTTTGGTTTTATGTCTGATGATTGATGGCCTGCTTTGATTCTTCTATTTTAACTCAACTAATCCAGGTCCTTCTGTTTTCCCTTGAAATTATCAAAACTTATATAATGCCTGTGTCTCTCTCCTAGTGTATCATTGATTTGGCTGCCTCTTGCCTGAAGTATAATACTCAAAACTACACATCAGACAATACCTTAAGCTGTAACATAATGTCTTCTTCTATCTTCCATGTGACACTCACCATTAATATATGCAAGAACAAGGTCTAGTTTCTTCTGTGACAGTTTCATATTCCTTAATTATTCCCATTTGATATTTCAATAGCACAGCCACAATCTTTTGTGAAGTAGTGCTGCCATGCCACATTTCCCAGTTGGGTATTTCTACATGTTTCTATTTCCTGCATGAGGCATTCTGTCTTTTAGCTTGTTGGTTTGAAAAAAATATCTTTAGTTTATAAAGACAGTTTTAAAGTCAGACTCAGTTCTCCAAAAGGAACATTATATTTCTTCCCCCACAGCAGTCTGATGTCATGTAAAAATATTACTCAGACTAAGAAAAGAACTGTGCCAAAACAGAATACATCAGTTGTGGAATCCCAAGAGAAATGTCCTGGCACTTTAACAGAGGCACATAGATTCCTGTTTAATAAGCAGAGTGGCTCAACTACCTGTCAACACACGTGTTCCATCTAGATAATATCTAATCAATTCACTTCCAGGACTGTCATGCAGGTTATGTCAAAAGCCTTTCTAAGTTCATGGGTGTCACATATGCCTTCTTAGCTTTCAAACAGGACAGCTACTTTGCCAAAATGGCTGTGTCTTCTTACACCTCAATTCATCTTCAAAAATTCACAGTAACTATTTTTTTCCCACTTTATTACATTGCAGATGCTTCAAAGTAGCTTTTATATACTTGTTCTAGTGTTTTTCCCTAGCTTTTAAGTTTGCATTGAAAGAGGATAGGCTCCATCTTTTTCCCCTTTCAGTTTTCTGAGGTCTTCCCCACTGGTAACAAGTGTGCAAAGATAATTGCTGCTAATGCAGGTAAGTCCATACACACCTAGATGGGTGGCATTAAACATGCAGCAACATGGACAGCATTGCTGCATGTCAGCTTCTACTGATAGCCCATGTTTGGCTTCTGCAAATACCAAACAGGCATTTAACATTTTCACTGATTTTAGTAACCACATTTCATAAAAAAGTTATATAAATTACCTAGAGAAAGATGGGCATACGCCTTCAAGAAGTGAAGCTGGTTTCCTCACATTCCACTTTTGCAACATTGGGCTGCTAATCAATCACCAGTCCAACTAGGACATATCTATACTATTGACAAAATCCAAAACCACCATTAAGAAAGTTGCATCTGAATTTCTTTTGTCCTCTTTTAAATTCTTATACAAGAAAACTTTCATATATAAGAAATGACATAACCATACAATCAGCTTCCAGCATATATTCAAGTCCCACAGAAAACCAGTCTGGACTTAAAACCTTACATATAGTAGGATCTAATAATGTGAATGGTTAATCAGTAAGGGTGTTTTCTACAGTGATTCTCTGAAAGTGGAACATTTTGAGCTTAATTTTTCATAAAAGAGAGATGGCCTGCAATTTCTCCCTGGAATAGTCCCTCCAGCAGACTGGAGATTTAGAACCAGCTTGAATTCAACAAGGAATAGCATGTGGTATTTCGATGTTTTCCCAAGGATTTAAAGTCACATTAAAACTTAAGTAGCTTCGCAAAACCAATCATAATTGTTTATTACAAACAGAAGTAGTATATCAAATTGCTAAACTCTGAATTTTAACATCTATATATTTATCTTGGTAATCACAAAATTTCATAATAAGATCTCAGCCTCACAAATATTTTCACAAAAATTTAAATCCCCTGATGTTTCATGAATATACAACCTGTAAGCATGGCTGTAAGTCCTATCAAGATCCTTCCTCTGAGATTTCCCTTTTTACATCTGCATCATTCATTCAGTGACTGAGTTCTACATCTTAAATGAGAAAATTGCATGTTCAGCCAAGCTGCTTTTGTTGTTCTTGTTGTTATTACTGTTATTATTATTTGTGTATGTGTGCAACTTACTGGAACTTACTGGGAGTTGGTTTTAAACCCTTTGTCTCTCAGCTGCTGCATTCATGTCTTCAGGTTTCTGTTGAGGAACTTGCTAGTAATGCATTTATGCTTTGGGAAATTGTTATATCTCAGCTAAAGATTCATGCTTAAAAATGGCGCCCAAAGAGAAAACTGTTTCACTGACGTGTGAAAGCCACTCACCCTTGAAAGACAGGTGTAAGAGGCTGTAACAGCATAGGAGGCAGAAGCAGGAAAACACATGAGAAAAAAAAAAAGCAAGAACATAATCTGAGACTGAAGAGCAGAGGAACGGGCAGGGGGAGGAAGTCTCAACACCAAAGAGGCTCATTAAAGCAAAAATGGAAACCAAGTAGTCTGGGAAGACTCTTGAATCCAAACTCATAAATCCTGTGATGTATTTGTCACAACAATTGTAATCTGCTGTGATTGACACACTCAGTCAAAATTCTTGGTTTGCAAGACCTCTCTTCAACCATGTTTTTGACTAAGACCAGCCAAGCTTGAGCTGGTGTTCTTGCTTTGGAACAGCGTACATTGTGAGCTTGAACTTGGCTGAATCCACCAGGCAAAAGTATAATACAAATCAACATGAAAGTACTGCCGTTTTCTAGATGTTTCTAGTTAAGTATTTTTATTTTTCTTCTGATATTGAGTCTGTGAAATCATCCTTTAATCATTCAGATGAAAAAATTCATTTGGCATTTTCAAAATAATCAGCCAATGGATTCCACTAGACCAAATAATGACACCCCATTTATTAATAATTAGTTTTAATCCTTTCTTTGTTGTACCCATCAGTCCTACAAACAGAACATTAATTCAACAAGTGGAGTTGAAACTGTGCGGATTCTTCATTATGCAGTATTCAAATACTTGTAAATTCAATGGGTGTTACCAGAACGGATTTCATAGCAAAGAAGAAAAAAATTAAATTTTAATCCTTCTTTCCCATTAATATTGGTGCTGCAGAGTGTCACATAAGGAAGGAAAAGCTGTATGATTTGGAGATCCTTACAACTGTTCCTAGCACTAGATTTATGTGAATCCCTTTCTAGCAGTGTCAATAGCCTTTTTTGAGCATTAGTGGTGTCTGTGTTTCTTAAAATTTCTAAGGAAATCTGGAAAAGGTGGCATTTATCTGAGGAAATTAAATTATTCTCAGCTGGAGTCTAGAGTCTGGAGATTCTTTTAGTGCTTTACGGTGGTGTAAAAGAGTATGGTAGGATTTAATTAAATAAAAGCTATGACAGTCTTGCTTATGAACTTTTAAAGGAAGCCCTGTAGAGTTATCTACTGGAGATTCTTCAGGTTGTTTCCAAATGGGTCATCATATCCTATTAAATTAAAAGGGATCGATTTTTTTAAAATTAGTTTAAATTTGCTTGAATTTATTATAAAAGCAGCTCTGGGGCTGCAGTTTTTCAGAACTGCATTATACATTATTTCTACTCACTTCAGTGGGAGCAATGTCCAGCTACCACTGGGAATATTTGAAAATTAAAAACTTCAAAAATAATCTTTTTGGGATTGAGTCTTAACATATTAGAGTGTCCTACACTAACGCTTCTGATTTTTGTCCTAGCAGGTCTGATATTTAATTAATTGCAAGGACATAAACTTCATGATTCTTCTCCCTTTATCATTCCAAAATCAATTGACAGCAAGTCCACATACGTTCTAGGAGTCTGAAATCAAAATGTGCCATCAGCCTTGGAGCTACTGAAGATACCAGAGAAATATTTAGCTTGTCAGCTTTGTTTCTTTGCTGTCTTTGTGAAATAGAGTGTGACATTACAGCAAAGACAGACCCATCCTTTGATACTGAAGCTTTCTTCAGATTTTAGTGAAAAGTTCCTTCATTGCTGCTGTGAGTAGTTTATTTGCCTTTATTTCTTCCAGGTAGTGCTGCTTGTATATTGCCTTCTGTCAAAGCAACTCTCTACACAGGCAGTGCCCAGTTAAACTGCTGGGAAATTTTCCCGTGGAGCAGACGGTGAAGGAATGAGAGCATCCCTGAGACCGGCCCATGGTACAAATGGATTGCATGAATGGTGCAGGAAATGACTGAAATACAGGGACTGTGGAGAAAACTCTTTAAAAAGTTATCTTTATGAATATTTTCTTTTACTCACAGCCTGTGGCTAGGCTCAGGATGTATCACCCAGCTCTCAGAGACAGGGCTCTAGGGCAATTGTACCCTACTGCTTGGCCTCCACCATCTTACTGCACACTTTACCTGTTGTTTAGTCCCAGTGTGAATCTCTGGAGGTATGTGGCTCTGCACCACAATGTTTGACTGTCTGCAGCCAAAAACACCCGTGGCTGGGAGCAGGGCACACACATGGTAAACACGAAAGCAGAGGCAGGCTCCAACAGGAGCACGCTGAAGGCAGAAAGCACTGCAACCTGCCACTGAGATAGTCTGTGGTTCCTCAGCTGGTAGGAATTTATTTCTGAGTTCAGATGATGAAAAAAGATGAATGAACACAAATGCATTCATTGGGAAGTATTACACAGAAACAAAAAAATGTGAATCAACAAATTTTCGCCTCAAAAAAAGATTTGCCTTAGAAAAATGTCCAGTATTAAAGACATTTCTGATTTTCATGAAAAAATTCTAGGCCCTCCATTTTATAAAAAATATTACTATATATTATATTCATATGGTTATCAATTTCAACCTGTGTTGTGGAAGAAAAACACAGAGGAAAATGCAAATAAATGTTTCAGCTCACTTGCCAACTCAGAAAACTCTTTGGATCAAATCATCATTTTATGAATCTGTTACAATTCAGTTCACATATCAGTCAGGAGAAAAGGAATAGCTCTACCTCTGTTACCCAGTCTCTTCGTGATCTGAATTTCTCTGAGAATGATAAAAATATAGGTTTGATACCCACACTAGCATATATGGGGAAGGTACTGTCCTGGTTGAAGCGATAATAAAACTTTCAGCAAACCTCTGCTCTGAATAAGACAAAGGTAATTTTAAACTTCCAAATCTCATTAGTGTCCTTACCTTGAGGTATTTTAGTGCTGGCATGTGCAGTTGACAGCCTTTTAATATCCTCCTGCAATCAGTGGGATGAAGAAGAGAGTTAGGAATGGCTTTCCATCTCACATAGGAGTGGTACTAACTAGAGCAATGAAAGTGTCTGTCGCACTTGTCTGTAGGTTGGTGACTTGGCACATTTACAGGGAGCCAGAAATGGCACACTTTTATTACTGTGGGTATAAAATACTCAACAATGGGGAGAAATCCTCTCAACTCATTCTTTAAGCCTATACATTTTTATGCAGTGGATGTGTCACTTGAGGATATGATTTAATGGTGAACATGGTGATGCTGGGTTCATGTTTGGGCATCCACTGCCCTCAGAGCCTGAAAACTGGTACCATGGGAACTGCACTGGGGACACACAGGATTTACATAAGAATTTATCCATATGGGTTCACTGTTCACTGATCTGAGAGAGTTCAGCGCAAGGATCTCAGAAAATTTTCATAGTGAAAACATTAACTGGGAACAACAGTTTGTTAAAGCTGCCCTGATAGTAGCTTTATTCAGTGGAAGGGGGAGGGAGGAGACCAGTGTTTTTCCCAGTCTTCTGGAATTAATTTTAGGTTGCCAGTGGTGGCCCTGTGTGGCACCGAGCACCCAGGCTGGATAGCAGCATTGCAGAGGGAGCTGCAAAAGGACCCCATCACCTGCCCTGGCAATCCTTCTGTGCCAAACACTGCATCAGCCCTGCCAGGGAGACCCAAAATCCACTTTGCTCACTCACCTGGGTACCTCTGGCACCCAACACAGGTGGTGGTTGTGGTAACAAAGTTATGTTTCCCACAGCTCTTGGCAGAGGAGCCTGTAGGGCCTAGGATGTGTCTGCTGGGATGTGCTCACCCACATTTCTTGTCCTTCCAACTTCTCCTTTCTTGTGAACCATTCAAATTTCATATTAGAGCATTTGTCCTGTCTGTCACTTTTGATAACCTGACTACTGCTACATCCACTTGCTTTTAATTACTTTGCCATTTAATTTGTTTTAAACATCTGTGTCCATTTTCTATCTGGGGTCATTTTAATTGTTTGTGGCTAATAGAATTTGAAAGGAGTATAATTTTCTTATATTTCATTCTAAGATAATCCATTGTGGTTTGCTACAGTCATCTGCTGCTGTTGATTTGCTGCCATACAGATGATTTAATTACCTAGAGATCATTGTTATTACCATAAAATCTCCATTTATTAACTGCCATATCAATTATCCACCCTTTTGCTTATTGATCTGAAGTTTCCTGAGCAACTGATCTCCTAGGCACATTTCAACCCAAGCACAAATCTAGCAAGTTCACCGGAGTAATGTAAAAGATGAACCTGGCTCCTTTGGCATACTGATCTCCTTCCAGTACTTTTATTGAGATGCCCAGTCATTGTGCAATCACCTGATAGATTTGGTGCCACAGTGGTTTACAGTTCTGGTGATTCATGATTCTGCTGGTACTGATTGGCCATTTGTCTCCATTATTTTTACTTCCTTCTCTCCTGTGATTCACACACTTCTGGAGTTTTTTGGGTTTTTATTTTTTTTTTTTTTGGTCTTCAGTTTCCATCTTCCTGCTCAAGTTTTTGTTTTCCATCACCTCCTCTTAGGCTCCTCTGCTTGGATGCCTTCCCTCCTGTATGCTTCTAAGTTGTGTAACCACCTTTCCTATGTTTCTGTTATGCTGAATGGAATCCCCTAAGGCACCTTTCTTTTTCCCACATCAGACATTGGTATCTAATCTTCCCTTTCTTTGCTTAGAGTTTGTGTTTTCTAGTAGCAATTTGCATTTTGCACTTAGTGCCAGGGCTCCTCTCTCCTTGCTCCTTCCTGGTCCTCTGGGAACCTTATTCTTATTCACCTCACCACCTTCTTCCTGATTATCTCTGGTAAAAAGCACAGACCAAGCATACATACAGTATTAATATACAGAGATTCTCTGTGAGTGTCTTGGCAGGTCTAGTGTATCTTCCCTGTTGAGATGTAATAACCCTCTTCCCTCATATAAAGCCTTTAGATGGTATTTGAAGAAACATTCTAATTAGCTGGGAAGTATCCACTTTACAGGTGTGGTCTGCCATTCAAATTTGGACTATACTAAATGAATATACTTCTACAAATTTACAGTTGAAGTGATTTTCTAAAAAATTATTTTATAAAGTACAGATAAATAACAATAATTGCACACTTTGCCAACAATGCCAGTATAACTGACTGAATTTGAGCTACAATACAGGCCTTTGAGATCTACATCATGGTCTCTGGTGACACCTGATCAATAAGTTCAAAGGAAATATTTGTGCTCTTCAGGAATTAATGCTCATGCTAGGCAAAGGCTCCAGCAGCAAAACCTTCACCTGGCTCTGGATCGGAGAGACCTCAACACCACTGGCTACTCTATGACGGAAATTTGTTCCACTCCTCTCAGGAAATATCCTGGGCCCTGAGTTACATCAACTCCACAGCAAAATGGCCACGGCCTTGTATGTGAGTTTCTTCCTCTGGACTTTGGTTTATGAGTACTTTGGCAATAATTCAAATGAACAGCAGCTTAGGTTGTCCTGGAATTTCAGCAACCTCATATTTTCATGTGTAAAATCTTTTAGAAAATAATAGCTCAGCTTGTGACTAGAATAAATGTCTCTTGCATAGCAGACTCCAATTGCTGTAACCCCTAGTATGAAGTTCCCTTCAAACCTGTCAAAGTAGGAAAAAAAAGAAGGTGACAAAATAACCCGAATGAATTTTCCAAAATATCTGACAACTCTTACAAAAATGCTTAGAGAATACAGGGATTGTTTCTTTTCATTTAACTATATAAATGCAGTAAAAAAATCATTTTGAGGAGATGAACAGTTATCATTATTGAATTTAAAATGATTTAGTTCTTCTTGGTTTTTTTTTTTTCTTTTTCTTTCTAAAGGAAGGTCCTCATTTTAGCTGGCCTTACTGCATTCACGTTACTAAACAAAAATAGGTGACAATGACTGCTGTGAATATTTGCTTAAGGAGTAACTGATAGAGATTTGATATTTGCTCTGACCTTTGATCTGCTGGGTACATGCCAGAAGGACTGAAGCTGAATAGAGTGCCCTGAGGAGGGCTGTCTGATGCTTCCTGTGATGTGAGCTCTCTGTGTGTGGAGGAGAGGGGCACAAAGTCCTGTTATCATTAATGACTGCTCTGGGTTGGGTGTGGGGGGGAGGGCGGCTGAGTGCCATTTCCACTACTCTTCATTAATGCTGCTTGATTAATTACATTATCCTAAACAGAAATTTAAAGTCTATGGACAGCTCTGCCTTTACATATCTCTTACCAGTGAGGAAGCAGACATAAAGAAAGCACAGGGAAAAAAGTTAGGAAAATATGAGTACCAAAGACTCACATCCAATTTAGAGCTGTTTTGACCCAAGGGTATGAAGATAAGGTGCAGGGAAAGCACTAACTCAGCCCTGCCTGGCCAGCCAGTGGCCCAGCTGCAGCGCTGCACTCCAGAGCTGAATGCCTTCCACTTGATTGTGTTTTTACAAAGCTGTTGTCTTGGTTTGAAAAGACAGATTTCTGCTAAGGAAGGAAGAAATGGGGGGGGAAAAAAAAAAGTAAACCACACCCCCTGCCCTCCAAATTTTTATAATCTTGAAATCAAGGTACTCTCAGGCAAAGATATAGGAATAGGAATAACAGTTCTTTACTAAGGAAATTAAAATAAAAATGCAGTGGTACAAAATACCAAAAAACCCCACAAACCCTCTGCCAGAGTGAGAATACAACCTGACACCCTGTTGGTCCGGGTGTTGGTAGCAGTCCAATTAAATGGTGGCTGCAATCCTGAAGTGACAGATGTGGTTCTGTTGAAGTAATGATCCCATAGAAGGGTTTAGCTTTCTTCTAGAGGTCCAGTGGTGGTATAGATGGGTCCAGTATTCCTCTGGGAGTCCAGTGGAGAAAGGCTGGCTGTAGTTTTGTAAATCTCTGGATTATATTCAGATAGGAATGCTTGGCTCCTCCCCCTGGGTGGAGCTTTCCCAATGGGATGATGTAATTATATCAGTCAT